GTTAAGCTCAATGCTAGTTGCATCGGAAACTAGGTCTATGTGTTGAAGGCAATAAATCCACAAACTATACAAAGCTTCTATTACTTGTCTTGTTTTTTTACATGAATTACGATCATTTGGTCATTATCTTCACAAGCAGGCATATCATAGAAAATGAAAAGAATGGCATTGATGGATCAGTACCTCATTTGTTCTTGGTTTCAGGAAATCACCTTCTAAAGTTGAGTAAACAGACATCAATAGCTCTCCCCATCTGCAACAAACACCATGAACAACCAACCAGAAAAAAGAAAGAAAAAAGTAAGGACATCCAATAACAGAATAAAAAACCAAGAGAAAAAGAAGGAATATAGCAATAAATGTCTATAGAAATTTAAGGAAGATCGGTTTTTGGGAATAATCCTTTCTGCTACTATCCATCATTAATTAACAACAAGAAATGCAAACACTTGCTTGCCAAATTCCAGTGCTGTGTGGCCACTGACAGCATTCAAACAAAGATTTGCAGGGGTAAATTCCTTTAGAAGAAGAAAAGAGAAGTGAACAGAAGAGGGAGAAGTTCGAACAGAAGAGGGAACCAGAAGAAGATAAGAATGGGTAACGGAAGATTTGGTTAAAGAATGGGTAACGGATAGGATAAAGAATGTTTTAAATTTTAATTAATATATAAAATAGTAATTACCGATTACTTAAATAAATCCGATAACTGTCGTATACGTGGCAGTAGTAGAAGTTTTAGATATGATATGGTTTTCCATATCATATATATATAGGAAACCCCCTTCCTATATATATATATATATAGGAAACCCCCTTCCTAATTTTCTATTTTTTTTATTTTTTATTTTTTTAATCCTACATAATTACCCATTAAACCAATAAGGAAATCACATATTCTTAACTATTTCTAACGACCATAAAAAAAGAGGGATTTGCTTTTCTAATATTTAGCCAAGTGKCACCACTTTCCCCCACTTCCTCTTAAATTGTCTTTATTTCCTATTTATCTCCTAAATTATCTCTAACTGCTATTTATCTCTTAAATTATCTCTAATTTAATAGAGAGATTCTCTCCTAAGCAATCTCTAATTCCAATTTATCCTTTCTCCCACTTTTTATCTATATCTATCTAAAAAAGTTTCAATTTAAAAAATTCAGAACTATTTAAATGTTATAATTAAATTATATACTAAATTTAAAATATTTATTAAAAACACAAAAAAATAATAGATTTAAATATATACATATTATTAATAATTCAATATTTTTACAAAATTCGTCATGAAATTATGTAGTAACAATATAAATTATAATTTTACGAATTATTCAATTTAAATTTTATTCAAATAATAAAAATTTAACATTAAAAAATAAAACATTATAAATATTTCAATAACTAAAAATCTTAAATAAGATATACCCTCCACACCCTTGAATACGGGCATCGGAGGCCAAAATCCCCTTCCCCCATTGGCTACCATAGCCATCTCCCTTTCTAACAACAACTCAGTCGTATCAACTTCCCTAACGAAGTCGATGAAGGGACAATCCACTTTCCCCTTACAAGAAGCCATTAGGAACAGATAATGGATATGAGACAAGACACAAAAAGAAAAGGAAAGTGTTTCACAAGACAACCACAATGATGTAGGAGCAATACAAAGACGATGACAAGAAGATAAACATGGAGAACTGATTCAGTCCCTCCCTCTTACACTTTTATAGAGTTATTACGTGTCCAGAATATCAAATGACGCCAAAGAAGATGAACAAACGCCAGTATAGAACCCCAAACAATGCTTAACGAAAAAGAAACCAAAACAAACTTACAGATATACCCCCAACAGGTAGGAGGAAATGATGCATTAATTAGAACAAGCTACCATGTCCTCAGCCGCCACTTTAAAAACAGGATATCAGGGCCACTCCCCATGTGCTAACCAGCGCAATTATTACAAATTGATGGTTAAAGAGCCCTCATGATCACCGCCATGTCACCATCATTCAGTACTTCCTTGATTCCCAACAGCCACTAAACATGATATGCTATTAGGCAATGTACTATCACCCCAAACCATGAATCCACACCAAGAGTAACATGAAACGCAGGGTGGTTTGCCGCCCACATGGGGACTAAGTATATAAGTGTCTTTTGCTAATTCCCTTCCTACCAATGATCAGGGGGCGGGAACTCACAAACTTAACACAGAATTGCCCATTGACAGAAAGGGAATCATCAAAAGACAGGGGGGCTAAACCACAGAAGATACGGAATCCCATCGAAGGATAAACAACCAATCCCCGCCTAAGACTACTAACGAGCAAAGACGCATGACCAAATAAGTAGTTGATTCTCAGTTTGTCAACAAACAGGGGGCTGACAGAAACCCCAAGTTAAAACCCTATTAATCAAACAAAATTGCAAAATACGGCAAATCCCCAGACCCAACGCATGCAAATACTCATTAATCCCTCGCAAGACCTAAAAAAAAATGCGAAAACAAAGTGCTTATCGATAAGCTACCACTTACCGATAAGCAGGGGCTAATGCAGGTACATAGTGCTTGCACAGTCCCTCAAAGCATAGTAGCCATTAGATTGATACCACATGGATTCTCGCGATGAGCCAGCAGCTCATCTTTCCTATGCAATGAACTCGTGGTTCACTACACGCTTGTGATGAACCTATGCTTAGCGCAAGCCCTAAACGAACTCAGGATGAACTTGCGATGAGGCTTCACACGTACCTGGCCCTGTGATGAACCCTAAAACCATTATGAGATTCCAGTTAGTTAAGAACTAGACTCGGGTATTAGCCGCACACGTGATGTCGATATGGGGAACGTGACATGGCGCCACGTAGGTCTAATAAAACCTCGCCTGCCAACCAATGACGTCACTAGAGCCACGCCAGTTAAGTAAGGWGCAAAAGGGTAGTAGCACACGTGGGCTATGAGGATCTCCGAGTGAAAGAAAAGCCAATCGTCGGAATGATCCCCATAGGAACATGTGGAGAAACCCCAATAATGCTCTTAATGATTAATGGCGAATCCAATACACTTTCCTAGTAGCAGACAAATGCCTTTAGTTCCTTTCCTACAGGATCTCGGGATCTTCCCCATAAATGGAGATCATTCTCAAAATGAAATTCATTGAACCACTGATTACTCCCATCACAGATCTCCCATTATGTTACTCTCCGCTCATGCCCTAGCCTCTTGATTGATTATCGGTTCTTGGTCTTTCTCTGTCTTTCAAAGAGACCACTTCCCTATCTTAGCCGCCACCTTACCTACACCTTCCATCAGGGAAAATCCTAATTCAACGGTCCACATTGCTCGACATACTCCAAATTATGATTTTTCACTCTGGTATGCCCCTTGAGGCCATCAAATCCCATCATTCCCCTTTTTTGATACCTTAGAACCCCCTTGGAAAGTCTTGTTACAAAATTCCCCATTTTACCCCTCATGCAATCTCGTTGTTCAAGATAAACCCTAACATCTTGAGTTTTAATCTCAACCCTTAAATCTGATGTGTGCACATGCTACACATCATTTTTATTGTTGTATACATGGTTTTGATGATGATTTGCAATGGTTTTTACCCTATTTGAGCAGAATTTCAGGAAACCAGGAGTTTGGGACAATCTAGGGTGAAGAGAGCATGAAGACATGTTGATATGGCGAAAAGGGAAGCACTTCAGCTCATCAAGAAGAAAAGCCCAGCCGAAACCCCAAAGGAAGCCCACAAAAGAAAGAAGCCCAACTGCAGCCCAGCCAAAACCCTATGGGAGAACAGTAGTTCAGCCCATCAAGTTTTTCCCAACAGCAGTTCGGCCCACTAAGAACAACAGCCCAACCGCAGCCCTAAGGGAGGCTCCAAAAAGGCGGCTGACTTTAGAGAAGGAAAGAAAGGCTGAAAAGAAGAGAATAAAAGGAAAGGAAAAAGAGGAAATTAGGGTTTGGACCCTTGAAGACAAAACCAAAGAAGAAGAAGAAGTGCTAGAGAAGGGAGAAGGCTACTGAATGCGAATTGAAGAGGAGATCAAAGATTGATGCAGAAATCTTAGGTTGTCTTCTTCTTTGATTCTGCAAATTCAGTAACCTAGATTCGATTAGGGTTTCATGATTTTTCTTTATTGAATCTTTCTTCCATTCTTTCTATTATGCAAACCATGATGGATTTCAAATATGATATGTAATTAATATTTTAAGCAGATCCGATTGATTGTGATTTATTCTTGGGATTTCTTGATTAGGGTTTTCGATTAATAGAATAATCTTGGCGAATTGTTCTTGTTTTTTAGATTGCTTGAATTGCTTGAGAAAGAGTTTAGGTAATCAGATCAACTAATCAAGAAAATGGATTGAATGCATCTTAGAGATAATTTGCATGATTTGTTAGCATTCTTTCAACTAGAATAAATTTCTATCAACTCCTTGTTCTTAGTGCATGTATGGCGATTAAATTTCTGATAGAGATATAGGAATTATTGCTCATAGATAGAGTGAGTTGTKCTTGAGAGAGGCTGCTCATACAATTAGGGTTTCGCCAACTCAAGACTGAATTCACTTAGGTTGGGCTGCTTAAAGATTTAATTGCTAAACCGGATCTGCTAGTTCTTGCATGTAGTAATTCTTCTTATCATTAAAGGCGGTCTGATCCGAAATTGCTTAGGGTAGTTTTCCAATTAGGAGTTAGGGTTTTTCTTTGTTTAATATTTCGGTTTATCAGATAACAAAAGGCTGATTTAGTACTAGTAGTTGTTGGATCAATCCCCGTGGGAACGATACTCTACTCATCATTTTATTACTTGATCGGCTAGTGCACTTGCTAGTGTCTTCTAAGCGCATCAAGTTTTTGGCGCCGCTGTCGGGGATTATCACAACATTATTAGGAACCATCTGTCATTGTTAATCTGATTTTGTACATTATGTTTATGATATGTGTGTATTAGTATCTTTATGACTTTGACTTGTATAATTTATGACACGCAGAAGTGAAAAGGAGGGCATCACCTACGATCCCGAGATTGAACGAACTCTTCATCGCTGCCTTAGAGCTTCTAAGCAAGGGAGAGCTGAAAGTGCAGAGATGGCCGAACAAAGGACCATGATGGATTATGCCAAACCAACCCTCACCGGGGCAGCCTCGAGCATTGTGAGACCAGCAATAGTTGCCAACAACTTCAAAATCAAACTAGCAATCATTCAGATGTTTCAAAATACAGTTCAGTTTTGCGGCTTGGCTCATGAAGATCCGAACACTCACATCGCCAACTTCTTGGAAATATGTGACACATTCAAGCACAATGGGGTTAGTGATGATGTGGTGAGGCTCAGATTGTTTCCGTTCTCATTGAAGGACAAGGTTAAGACTTGGCTGAGCTCTTTACCAGCTAGATCGATCTCTACTTGGGATGAAATGGCCAGCCGTTTCCTATCCAAGTATTTCCCTCCGTCCAAGATAGCAAAGATGAGGAATGATATCACCACCTTCTCTCAACAGGACGGGGAGTCATTGTATGAGTCATGGGAGCGTTACAAAGAATTACTAAGGAAGGTCCCTCATCATGGACTTCCCGTATGGTTGCAAGTTCAGACATTTTATAATGAGTTGACCGAAGCAAATAAGACTATTATGGACGCTACAGCTGGGGGATCCATTAATAACAAGACCCCCGAAGTTGCCCATGCACTCATTGAGGAGATGACTGCAAACAACTATCAGTGGCATTCCGAGAGAGCCCAAGTTAGGAGACAGCCCGAACTTCATAATGTAGACACCTATACAACACTATCTGCACAAATCGATGCCCTCAGCAAGAAGATATATGAAATGCAGTTGGCAGGCACGCATGTTCAAACCGTAGCTTGTGAATGGTGTGGGGGAGGTCATATCAGCACCGAATGTCAAGTTAGAAATCAGTTCATGCAGTCCCCCAAGCAAGTAGATTTTGTTGGTAATTTGCAAAGGCAGCAAGGCAATCAGTACCCTCGTGCATTTAACCCTGGTTGGAGGAATCACCCCAATCTGTCTTGGCAAAATCAAAATGCGGTGAAACCCTTTCCCCAAAATTTCAATCAGCCAGAGAATAAATCCAATCTAGAGGAGCTGATGACCAAGTTCATAGCAAGTGCAGAAACGAGATTTCAGAACCAAGAGGCATCGATCAAGAACTTGGAAACTCAAGTGGGCCAGTTGGCACAGATGATATCTTCTAGAGTCCAAGGCGCTTTACCCAGCAATACCGAAGCAAACCCAAGAGAGCAGGTGCAAGCCATTACTTTGAGGAGTGGTAAGGAGCTGCAAGAGGTGGAGAAGAAGGCAAAGGAAGAAGGTAAGGTGGGTACAACCCTAGAAACAGAAAAGAAAGAGGAAGAGCAGTCTGAATCAAAGAAGGAGACAAATCAACAGCCACAAGTACCATTTCCCAATAGTCTTAAGTGACACAAAATGGAAAAGGATTTCGGTAAGTTTCTTGAAATTTTTAAGAGTTTACATATTAACATTCCTTTTGCAGATGCTTTAGCCCAAATGCCACACTATACAAAGTTCCTGAAGGAGATATTGGCAAACAAAGGGAAACTGGGAGACGTGGCTACTGTTGCAATGAATGAAGAATGCTCACCAATCCTCCTCAACAAACTGCCTCAGAAACTGAAAGATCCAGGGAGTTTCACTATTCCTTGCACTATAGGCAGTTTGAAAATTAATAAGGCATTGTGTGATTTAGGAGCTAATATAAATTTGATGTCATATTCAGTTTTTAAGAAATTGGGGTTGGGTGAACCCCAACCCACTAGAGTTGCATTGCAGTTACCTGATAGGTCCATAAAGCATCCTAGGGGAATCATAGAAGATGTGCTTGTTAAGGTTGATAAATTCATTTTTCCAGTAGATTTCATAGTGTTAGACATGGAAGAGGACGTTGACGTCCCACTTATCCTAGGGCGACCCTTCCTAGCTACAGGAAAGGCAACAGTTGATGTCCAACAAGGACAACTCAGCCTTAAGATTCAAGATGAGGAAGTAATTTTTAAAATGTCTGATGCTATGAAACATGCACCTTCTAGTGATGATTCATGTTATATGATAGATGTCATTGATTATGCGGTTGGTGGGTGTTTTCAGGTCAACGGGCAGCGCCTCAAACCATATGTAGCGGATGGAGCATTGCCTACACCATCAACTGTGTACCTAGATGTTCATTGATCCACTGGAATGCTGAGATTCAGACGGAAAACAAGCACTTATTGGGCGGCAACAAAATGCTGATGAGTAGTTTTTTTTTATTTTTATTTATTTGTTTTTCTGATTTTCTTTTTCATATCATTCGAGTTTCTTTTCTAGGATGTTAATCTTGTAGATTGTTGATTTCTCTGAGTATTTCACATTCTCTCTTCTTAGTTTCTTTTGATCTTGGTAGCTAGAGGGTCCAAACGAAGGAGCCATTCCAGATTCCAGAATGCTCTTCAAGGAAGTTCTCTAAACCCCTTCAAATGTTTGAAGTCCCGTTGCTCACATTGCTGAATTCATCCTTGCGTTTTCTCTATATGAACATTGAGGGCAATGTTCATGATAAGTGTGGGGGAGGCTATAGCTATGCACCTCAATCACCCCAATACATAAATGCATTGATAGACGGCATAAACTGGAAATTCCCTCAAGATTATTGTTGTTTATAAGGTGAATTCCAAGAGGGAATACGATGAAGTCGAAGGAAATCACTATAAGTGCTAGAATTTGTTCCTATGAATTATCCAATTTTATCACAATACTTGAGGATGAGGAAGTCGAATAGGACTTTTATCATGACCAGCACCAACTCTACTCATGTGTATAGTGTGCTTGGTTGAAATCTTAATGATCATTCGAGCTAGTAGTGCATCATGAACTGTTAATGCATGAACTTCAACAATTGATTTAGAAAAAAAAAAAGAGAAAAGAGAAGAAGAGAAAGGGACAAAGTCCAAATTACTCCATTGTCATGAACTGAATAGTAAAACTAGCGGTTCATGATATGAGTTCAGTCCCAACTCCGCTATTCCAAGTTGAATAGTAAAACTAGCAACTGGGAATATGAGTATTGTTATCTGCCTCTAGCCTGTGACCCATGTGAGATGGAGCATAAAATGCACTCACACAAAAAAAAAATGAAAGAAAAGAATTCGGTGATGACTGAGGTTCAAGGGGACAAAAATATAGTTGGAAATTCAATTTAATGCATTGAAAGGATTTGAGACCAAGCTCGAGGTGATGGTTAATTATGGCGGTCAAGGAGCTGCTATACATATTGAACGGAATTGAGTGTTGGAGCATGAAGAATCTCATGTTCTCCCTTCCTTTGTTCTCATGTATGTGGTAAGAGTGGCCAATCATGGGGATGAATCAGAATGTTTATGCAGGTTTCCCGACCACTTAATGCATTCTCATCCTAAAATTCATTTGGTAGATGGTAATAATTTGGGAAATGATCAGTTTATGGGTAATATCTTTGCTTGAGGACAAGAAAAAGCATAAGTGTGGGGGAGTTTGAGGTGTGCGCATGCCACACATCATTTTTATTGTTGTATACATAGTTTCGATGATGATTTGCAATGGTTTTTACCTTATTTGAGCATAATTTCAGGAAACCAGGAGTTTGGGACAATATAGGGTGAAGAGAGCATGAAGACATGTTGATATGGCGAAAAGGGAAGCACTTCAGCCCATCAAGAAGAAAAGCCCAGCCAAAACCCCAAGGGAAGACCACAAAGGAAAGAAGCCCAACTGCAGCCCAGCTGAAACCCTATGGGAGAACAACAGTTCGACCCATCAAGTTTTTCCCAATAGCAGTTCTGCCCACTAAGAACAGCAGCCCAACCGCAGCCCTAAGGGAGGCTCCAAAAAGGCGGATGACTTTAGAGAAGGAAAGAAAGGCTGAAAAGAAGAGAACAAAAGGAAAGGAAAAAGAGGAAATCAGGGTTTGGACCCCTGAAGACAAAACCAAAGAAGAAGAAGAAGAAGAAGTGCTAGAGAAGGGAGAAGGCTGCTGAATGCGAAATGAAGAGGAGATCAAAGATTGATGCAGAAATCTTAGGTTGTCTTTTTCTTTGATTCTGCAAATTCAATAACTTAGATTCGATTAGGGTTTCATGATTTTTCTTTATTGAATCTTTCTTCCATTCTTTCTATTATGTGAACCATGATGGATTTCAAATCTGATATGTAATTAATATTTTAAGCAGATCCGATTGATTATGATTTATTCTTGGGATTTCTTGATTAGGGTTTTCGATTAATAGAATAATCATGGCCAAATTGTTCTTGTTTGAATTGCTTGAGAAAGAGTTTAGGTAATCAGATCAACTAATCAAGAAATCGGATTGAATGCATCTTAGAGATAATTTGCATGATTCGTTGGCATTCTTTCAACTAGAATAAATTTTTGTCGACTTCTTGTTCTTAATGTATATATGGCGATTAAATTTCTGATAGAGATATAGGAATTATTGCTCATAGATAGAGTGGGCTGTGCTCGAGAGAGGCTGGTCATACAATTAGGGTTTCGCCAACCCAAGACTGAATTCACTTCGGTTGGGCTGCTTAAAGATTTAATTGCTAAACCGGTTCTGCTAGTTCTTGCATGCAGTAATTCTTCTTATCATTAAAGGTGGTCTAATCCGAAACTGCTTAGGGTAGTTTGCCAATTAGGAGTTAGGGTATTTCTTTGTTTAATATTTTGGTTTATCAAATAACAAAAGGCAGATTCAGTTCTAGTAGTTGTTGGATCAATCCCCGTGGGAACGATACTCTACTCATCATTATATTACTTGATCGGCTAGTGCACTTGCTAGTGTCTTCTAAGCACATCAGAATCCTACACATCATACCCCTTTGGACTTGCCCTCTCATTACAAAACCCCCCCTTTTGTTTTTCATTTAATTCCCTACACATTTATGAAAATCATCCAAGCCCCCTATCTACCTTGAACGCAATCTTTGCCGTAGATCTAAACCCCCTTGCTTCTCCACCCTAGGATCGGCCTAACCCTCACTTCAGTACACCCCAAAATCCTAAATTCTAAAACCCTACCTGCCCCCTCTTGTTTTGGCTCCTAATTTTGAATTTTGAAACTTAAATTTCAAATCCCCCTCTTCTAGGAAGCCCCCATCCCTTAGATTAGTACAAAGAAATCTCAACTCTCCATCTTTTTAAGCCTCACACTCAAACACCAAAAAACCCTAACCAAGACCCAACCTAACCCTAACTAAATCCCCTTCATTCGGTCCTAACCCAACCCATGTAGTCCCAACTGAACCAAAACAGCCTATCCCATCCGGTCCTAAAGGAAAGCCTAAGAAAAAAATAATAAAAGAAAAAGAAAAAAAACCTAGATAAAACCTAACCAAAGCAACCAAAAGGGGGACTTTTCATTCTCTCTGACTCTCTCCATTCTCTTCCACCTTCTCTCCCACCAAGACCACTAAACTTTCTCACACCCCCATCTTCTTCTTCCTACTCTCATTCCATGGAACAAAACCCAACTAAACCCTAGCTTCATCTTGATCCTCCTCCTTCCTTCTCTCATCCCTAATCTCCACGAAACCACCATGAACGAGCCAGCTTTACTCCCTCACTAACCTCCCACCATCAAACCCCTATCAAGCTCTCTCTGCTCCCTCACCAAGACTCTTCCCACCAAACTATGCCTTCCTCCTCTCTCTCAACCTCCTTCCTCCACCACCGAACTCCCTTGCTCTCATCTCATCTCCTTCACACCCAACAACCAAAAACCCTAGCCTCCTTCTCTCTCACTCACTCCACCATTCTCCTCCATCTCCTATCTTCCTCTCCAACCCCATTCGATCTCAGCCCCTCAAAATCTCCATTTCCTATATCTCTTAACCTCTCTCACACCCAAAAGCAAAACCGAAATCCCTCTATCTCCCTTCTCACTCTACCACCAAAGTCTCCTATCCACCACCATCTTACAACCGAAATCGTAGGGACACCATCTCATTCGGCCAAGAGAAGCCAAGACAAGCCAATCGACCAAGAGAGAAGCAAGGGAAAAGGTAAAGAGGGTTAGCCATGTGAAGGAGTAAAAGGAAGAAGAAAACTAGATTACAACCCAAGAAAGGAAGACCATCAAGCATTTCAGCACCATCAACATTTCAATTTTCAATTCGTATGATCCATCAGTAATTGTTTGTCAAAAGGCCACAAAGAGGTGATCTTCTCATYTCATTCTTTTCTTTTTTTTATACATTTTTTTCTCGAACTTTATTGGTGCCCTAGGTAGTCTCTAATTTCATCATGTAACCCCTTTCATGTAGGCGACATTATGTAATTATTTTGAGTAGTTTTCATGGTGGTTAGACGTAGGAATCATTAGAACATTTTGTTAATCCCTTTGAATGAATATCCCTTGTCTTATAGTGTTTGTTTTGGCTGAATTTGAATTTGTTTCAGTGCTGAAATATATTCACTTTCATAGCTTTTCAATTTGATTTAATCTAGGCTAAAGGATTTTTTTTTCTTGAATTTTTTTATATTGGAAATAACAATTGAAAGGGATTTTTATAGGGGATTGAATCACTTGTGGCTTTCCCTTTCCCATTTGCTTGGTAGGAATGAGGAGAACCTTGGATAAAGAAGGAGAGTGGCATATAGTTGCCAACTCCTTTGCTCCTTTAAGGGTTTCCCACACCCGAATTGAGAATGGGAGGGTTAAATCATTTGAGAGAAGAATCCTCTATTACAATTACCCTCTTTCATGTATCAAATTAATAGCCTTCTTGTAGACTTAATTATTTCTAGTTTTTTTTCCTTTTCACTAAATTAGGAGAATGGTACTACTTATCAATTGTGGGAGAGGGGTGCCTAATACCTTCCCTTTCTCGCCTAAAAAGTACATAGGTTAGATTTGTTTTGGGTGTGAGTCATGTCTTGTTGTGTTTCTTGAACTTGGGAGGCCCATCACTCCCATGTTCTTTTCTTTGATGGGTGGCAGCTCTATACCATTTCAGCCATGGAATGAACTCCAAACTCAATTTGGATGTTCATACAAATTTACTAATATATATAATATATATAAATTGTCCACTAGTACCCCGTCCATGGTATTGAGTTAATGTGTCTATGTGGGCGACCAGACCGATTTGTTACCTATAAGTGCCAAGAGCCTAAGACCAATAGCTCCAAGTCCCCTAATAGTTATATTGCTTGG